ACAGCAGGCCAAGCAGCATCACAGGAGCAGGAAGGCTGATGTTTTGGACTGAAGGATCTAGGCCCGAAACGTCAGCCTTCCTGTTCCTGTGATGCTGCTTGGCCTGCTGTGTTCATCCAGCTCTACACCTTGTTATCTAGTATCTGTAGCCAGTTAAAGCATTTCCTAATTGAATCATACAACACACAAGAATGCCATGGGGCCCACTGTGCCTCTGCTGGCTCGTTGAAAGAGCTATCCAGGTGGGTATAGTTCTGAAAAGGGTTCTTTCAAATACGTAGCCAATTGCATTTTGAAGGTTGTTGACGAGTGAATAAAAAAATCTGTCATCCCCTCATCCCTAGTCACAATTCTCAATTTATTCATGTAGCTGAAGTTCCTCACTCCTAAAACCGTCTTATTCAGCACTTTTCCCAATCTTCCTGAAGTCTGGATGCAATGCTCCAATTGAGGCCAGCCCAATGGTTTACACAGGATTCTCCTAACTTTTTGCACTCCCATGTCTTAGTTGATAAAGCCCAGGATCCCATTCACTTTATTGACAGCTTTCTCAACCTGCCCTGTCACCTACAAAGATTTAGCCATTTACCACCCTCCCAGCTTCCTCTGCTCTTACACCCTCTTTGGAATTGTCCCTTTCATTCTGGATTGCCTCTCTCTCTCTTCTTCCAGCAAAAGATACAACAAAACATTTCTAGGAAGTGGGACCACTCGGAGGAGCTGGTCATGTACATTTCCCAGCCCAGCCACCTCCATTCCATTTGGAAAATTCAGCTTACTGAATGCTCTGACCTTTTATTGTAATGTATCACCAATGCTAAAGTACCAACAGACTCATGATACTATCAATACACTTTCCCCGCCCCCACAACCAGCACCAGCGCCCGTCAACCCTTCGGATTATTTTTCCAATCATTAATCCCAAACAGGGGAGAGGAAATTGTTTACCTTGTGTTCCTGGCAGAACAGACACAAAGTGAACCTTCAGGCTGAGGCAGACGTTAAGATCCAAATATTCGTGCGTGACAAATGCCAACTGTTCCCCAACTTTCCACTACTGTGGGCAACTGCAAGCCCTTCTCCAGGCTTCAGTCTGCAAATTCAGTTCCCAAAGGAAAAGCCACAGCAAAGCACGTGGAGAGAGTGGGAGGAGACTGAAAAAATCATCAGATGTCCCACGGGTGGTGGGTCGCCGAGTTGTGAAAGCGAAATGTCCTTGCCCCAAGTTTGTTTCAACATTTATATGATCGTAAAAATTGATTTGTTTATGACATGACTTTCCTTTGACCCAAGGGTTACTTTCTCTGTACCCTCACCTCGCACAGAGTTTTAAAAACTGCCATTACTTGTCTCCCTCTTAATTATTTCTCTGCGCTCAGAAAACACTACTTTAGTGAAACCGTGTTTGGGTGGGGGGGGTCTTGATGATTTCGGCAGAATTGAAATTTCAGGTTGTGAACCTTCTCGCTCGTACAGATCGTGTCAGTTTCGTTCCCAACAGTGTCACTGACCTCGCCAGCGGTTTGCAGAATAAGACGGACCCTTCCGGTGCCTCATCTCGCTCTTCCTTTACTATCTGGGCTGTTTTAGACATTTACTGGTGGGGACCGTCTAAGCTTCTCTAAACAGCATTGCACAGAAATGAAAACTCCCAACGGACATTTCACTGCATCGAGGGCAAGTATCCTGACATTTCAGATTAGGGACTGAGATCAAATGTGGGTGAAAGTCCCCTCCCCAGTCCAAGTTATTCCATGGTATCATCATGACATTTCACAGAGCAAACCGCTAACAGACCGACTGGATCACTCTGCAAAGAGCCAGCATGAATTCAATGGGCAGAATGTCCTCCTCTGTGGCCACACTATCTCCTGTTATCTAGCCTTCCTGCTCCTCTGATGCTGCTTGGCCTGCTGTGTTCATCCAGCTCTACACCGTGCTATCCTGTTAAATGTATTTCTGGATTGGCAGCATTTGCTGAACACGACACCAGCAGCTAATTTAAAATCGTCTGTCAAGTGACTGTGTCGGTTATGTTTTCTCTAAGTGACATACGTTCACACGCAAAGAACCATCCTCCAAATACAAAAAGAATACGATCAAATAAAAGCCGAAAGAACTGCGGATGATGTAAATCAGGAACAAAAACAGAAGTTGCTGGAAAAGCTCAGCAGGTCTAGCAGAATCCGTGAAGAAAAAAAAAATCAAGAGTTAACGTTTTGGGTCCTTCCTCAGAACCGTTCTCTGAAACGTTAACTCTGATTTTCTCTTCAAGAATATGATCGAGCCCTGTGCCTTTTTTTTTTGAACTACTGCAAGCCCTCTTGTCCCTTGCTACTTCCACCGTGGCAACAGCAAGGCCAATCAGAGTTGATTTGCCAATCAATTGAGGACCCTTCCACTGTAGTACACAGTGCTGGGATAGGGATCTTGTAATGTTGTCATAGTGTCTCTATCTCTAAACCAGGAGGCCTGTGGTCAAGTCCCAGCTACTCCAGAGGCACATCATAACATCACAGAACAGATTGATGAGGAAAATATCTAAATTGTTTAAAATTTGACATTTAAAATTTAAATGATTGTGACATTTGCCCTGAGGAGTACAAGTTGAATCGCAATATGTTTCTATTTACAACATAGATCTCTATAAAGATTCCACAACTAATTTAATTCTGCTAAATGTGAGGTGATGTGCTTTGGAAGAGGTAACAAGACAAGGGAGTACTCAATGAATGGTAGGACACCAGGAAGCTCAGAGGGATCTTCATAGAATCCCTATAGTGTGGAAACAGGCCATTCAGCCCAAGTCCACACTGCCCCTCCAAAGAGCATCCCTCCCCAACTCATTCCCCTACCCCTGCATAACCCAAACATCCCTGGACACAATGGGCAATTTGGCATGGCCAATCCACCTAGCCTGCACATTTTTGTGACTGTGAGAGGAAACCCACACAGACACAGGGAGAACGTGCAAACTCCACACAGGCAGTTGCCTGAGGGTGGAATCGAACCTGGGTCCCTTGCGCTGTGAGGCAGCAGTGCTAACCACTGAGCCACCCTCATCTCAGGGTGCTTGTCCACCGACCACCAAAGACAGCAGGATGAGTTAATGGAGTAAGTTGAGAAGGCACATGGGACACTTGCCTTTATAGATTATAGAGCAGGGAGGTTATGTTGGAGATGTACAAAACTTTGGATAGGTTACAGCTGGAATCCTGTGTGCTGTTCCAGTCACCACACTCTACAGAAAGGATGTGGCTGCACTGTTTGGAGTGCAGAGAAGATTCACCAGGGTGTTGCCTGGGATGGAGTCATGTAGCCATGAAGAGAGGCTGGATAAGCTCAAGTTGTTTTCTTTAGAGCATAGAAGACTGTGAAGTGACCTGATTGGGGTGTACAAGATTATGAGGGGCATGGACAGAGTCGATACAAAGCAGCAGTTCTCCTTAGTTGAAGGGTCAATAACAAGAAGGCATAATTTTAAGGTGAAAGGCAGGAGGTTTAGAGGAGATTTGAGGATTTCAAATTCTCAGGGGTGGTAGGAATCTGGAATGCACTGCCTGGGAGGGTAGTTGAAGCGAGAAACGTCATATCCTTTAAAAATACATGGATGAGCACGTGAAATGTCATACATTCAAGGCTATGGACCAAGAACTGGAAAGTGGAACTTGTGTAGATTTAGAATAGTTTTGGTCAGTACAAACTCAATGGGCTGAAGGGCCTCTTCTGTATTGTATGATTCTATGATTCTAATAGGCACTAATTCTCATAGTGTCCAAATTGCTCCATGGCCTCACTCTTTCCCTTTCTCCATAACTTCCACCAGCCCCACAGCCATCTAAGAACTCAACTCTCCTCCATTCTGGCCTTTTCTCCATCTCCGATTTCTACTGTCCCACCATTAGTTACTGCGCATGAGCTGCCTGGATCCAGCACTCAGAAATTCCTCCCCATAACCTCAGCACCTCTGTCCAGCTTCTAAGAAGATGCCTCCTTAAAATCTATCTCTTTAACCAAGCTTTTAATCACCTTTTCTAATGTCTCCCTCTTTGATGCCATGTCAATTTTTGTCTGACTATATTTCTCTGGAGATTATTTATTGCATTATAGGCAAATATATGTCTTTTGATTGTATTAATATAGAAGTGTAATACTGTGGATGCTGGAAATCTGAAAGAAAACAAAAATGTTGGAAGCGTGCAACAAGTCAGACAGCATCAGTGGAGAGAAAATGTTTCAGGAATGTGAAGAAATACATCCCACTTCTCTGGATGAGTGCAACTCCAAAAACACGCAAGAAGAAAGTAACTGACTTAATTGCCACCCTATCTTCAACATTACCTCCGTCCACCACTGATGATCAGTAACAGCGTTGTGCACCATCTGCAAGATGCACTGCAGTAACTCACCAAGGTTTCTTTGACAGCATCTTCCAAACCCACAAACATTACCATCTGGAAGGATGAGAACAGCAGATACATGGGAACACCACTGCCTGCAGGCTACCTTCTGAGGCACACACCATCCTCTCTTGGAAATGTATGATTCATCCTTCTCTGTCACTGGATCCGATTCCTGTACAGTTACTCCCTTCCTTACAGCACTGTGACTCTACCAACCCACCTGAGGACTGTAGAGTTTGAACAAAGTGGCTCAACCACAAAAACATCTCTACATCCTCAGGAGGCTAAGAAATTCAGCATGTCCACAAGGACTCTTACCAATTTTTATAGATGCACCATAAAAAGCATCCTATCTTGGTGCATCATAGTGTGGTGTGCCAACTGCTCTTCCCAGGACAGCAAGAAACTACAGAAAGTCATGAACAGAGCCAACTCCATCACGCAAACCAGCCTTCCATCCATTGACTCCATCTATACTTCCCGCTGCATCAGGAAAACAACCAACATAATAAAAGACCTCTCCCACCCCAGTTATACTCTCTTCCACCCTCTTATATCGGACAGACGATATAAAACTTTGAATACACGTATGAATAGATTCAAGAATTGCTTCTTCCCCGCTGTTATCAGACTTTTGAACAGACCTCTCAAATGTTTCTTCTGATCTCTCTCTCTGCACTTTCTGTGTGGCTGTAACACTGTATTCTGCACTCTGTTCTGCTACCCTGATGCACTTTGTATGGTAGAATCTGCCTGTATAGTCCACAAAACAATACTTTTTACTGTATCTCAGTACATGTAACAACAATAAATCAATCAAACTTTCTCAAGGATAATTTAGAGATGGCCAATAAATGAGAATGTGCACAAACCAGTGATACCCCAGTTCCATGAACAGGTGTAGCAAAAAAAGCTATGGTTATTCTGAGCACAAAGCCAGTATACAAATCGCTGCAGCCAACTTCCATAAGTTGAACTATATGTTAAGCATCAATCTTAGAAATAATCCAAGGGCGAATGGGGAACTTAACTGGGAGTAAAATGGAAGGGATGGCCATTGTGAGATCTGTCAAAGCTTTCACTTTGTGACAACACCATCCAGCTTCATTCTGATGAAAGTGGCTGTTTATAAAGCAAGAACAAGACCTTGTTTCGAAAACCAAAAATCTCAAAGGTTCTTTTGAAAGCTCCAGTATCACAGAAAGAAACCCTGACACTCCCGTGCACTTCATGCATCAGAAACCTACATCTGTTAACCAGGGGGTCAGGGAGTGGAAAGATATACAGCATGGAAACAGATCCTTCCATCCAACTGGCTTATGCCGATCACATATCCCAAATTAATCCAGTCCCATTTGCCAGCATTTGGCCCATATCCCTCTAAATGCCTCCTATTCATATGCCCATCTAGATGCCTTTTATTCAGCAAAACTAATACATGACGCCTGGGTATTTGAGTATTTTGAAGGAGAGTGGGGCAAAATTGGTTTCACTGGTGCATCGTAAATACCGACACGCCTGATTTTGCGAGGCACGGTGGGGTTGGGGCAATGGAGATAAAATTCGTCACGCCAGCATTACTCTGATTTTCCCCCAAGAGGTAAGCTATCCTCTCCTGGCTATCAACGTTGCAATGCTGCAAGGTGAACAAATTTCCCTGCTCCCAAATGTTTTTCAGCACCTCCGGTGTTGATATCACCACAGTGTGGGCGAACCATTACATGACACACGGTTCTGATGAGGAAGCTGCAAG